AAAAGCTTTCAAAACAAAAAAGATACAAGCACGCAAAAAAAAGTCCGGATAATTATGCATCAACCTAGTAAAAACGATATACGACAACAAAAACATTCTAAGAAGGTGCGGACGAATGCAACACGCCGATATTCTTGACGATATAGCCAATTCTATGAATGTACCTCGGCAAAGCATTTTGTGTACTAGAATTGCCGAAAATATCCACGGACGTATGGCGCACATGGTAGCAATCAACTATTATGTGAACTTCTTCAGCGTTTCTGGATTCCAAAAGACAGAGTGCTCTGCAAGAAAATATTGCGCAACTGCACGACATGTAGTTACCCGGCTACTCATCTGGAAGTTGCAGATCTCACGGCAAAAGCTTTCTGCTCGTCTTCAAAAGATTCGTTGCTCGGCGAGGAGTTCGTGAAAGAATCATCAGCAATAATGGAAACAACTTCCGCTTCAGCGAATTCATTCTAAGCAGTAACGTCGAGGACAGTGAAGAGACTCATTTGTCACTATTCCTGGCAGAACATCCCATCTCTTGGTATTTCATTCCCACAGCATCACCATGGATGGGAGGCGTTTGGGAAAGGATGGTTGGAATAAAGTAAAAGAGCGATGCAAAAAACCATCGGACGACGTAAATTATTGGAAGAACTTCTACAAACATCCCTATGCGAGATTCAGCGCATTTTTAATTCGCGACTATTAACTTAAATCGGTGACGATGGTCCTCCATGCCAATTCCTTAGACCAGTCCAGTGGACTTTATCTATAAAGACATTGGGCTTGGGACTATACAACTGACACCCACCGATAATGATGAGCAAGACCCAGATTATTTACTCATAAATTAATTTCGCAAAAAGAAGCAAGGATGCTCTTTCGGAAAATGAGAAGATAACTTTAAAAAATTCGTAACGTTTGGAAACACAACTACCTCCTTGACTTCGAGACCGTCATAGGATGTTTAACAAAGCGCGATCGGCGAATTGTGAACCCTAAATGGGAGAAAACGTGTTGATGGAAGTCGATGCTTATTCGAATGG